GAAGAAGTAAAGTACTGCGCAGTAGGGAAAGACCATGGGATCCCAGGGCCATCTTGTTTATCAGTTTTCACAACAGGGCAGTGCTTTTGCAGGACAAATCCCTGCGCCTCAGCCAAATCTGACCAGCTGGAAACTGAGGGAGGTGGTGGGCAAACAGAAGGAGGTGCTTCCCCACCACCTTAGTCCTCCCCACCAACTCTTTCAGCACAGCAAAGATTTGTGAATTTATACTCTCAAAATATCAGGCAGTACTGTGCTGCTCTCTTTAAGGTTGCTGTTGTACCGGCTTCCTATGTTGCTGCTCAACTCTACTCAGTTGTGACTGGAGTTAGCACAGAAGATCCAGGTTCCCCAGGGAGATTAAGCACCATCCTAGTCTGGGGCATTTCTTACAGACTGCTGTTGGTTATAGAGCCCTGAAAGTCTGTTTGTTTTGTGAATACTGTTCCTAGGAGGCTTATTTTGTTTGCACACAGGCTCAGCCCAAATGCTATGCATTGCTCTGGATGGCAGGATAGCCAGGACTTAAATGCAGCAGTTCTGAGTGTTTTAGTGGCTTGTTCTCCCTTATAAATTAAACCCTCTTATCACTGACAGTCAGTGGAGCTGCACCGTTAACTCCATAGCAAGAGGTTTGCGTTTTTGAAACAAAATATTCCCATGCCACTTAGCTGGTGAAAACAAAGCTGTTACCTACCACAGCTCTTCTAGATAACAGGTCCCTTTTCCGTTGTTTCTGCTGAAATGTCATCTGGAGTTTATGTACAGATGTTCAGGGTTGAATCCTGTCCCCAGTTGCTCATCAGTCCAATAGGTTGTTCTTGCAGAGCTGAACAAAGACACAGTAGCTTGCACTGTATATCTTGGTGCAAAACGTCACTGGATGAAGCTTCAGACTGGAGATGTGCGGTATTTTTTATGCTACAGGCATACAAAAAAAACTTCTGTTCATACAGTTCCTTTAAGTGAGCACATTGTTATAACTACAGTCTCCTTCTGATGTTAATATGTGAGATTGAGCAGGGCTGAGCCTGGGCAGTTCCTGACTAATAAAACTCTTTGTAGGTGGTGACCTTCCCCGGCATTGTTACTGCTGAATTTTGACCCAACATGATAAAGGGTAACAGTATTAAACTCTTTGGGATGCTGCTGTCAGACTGTTGCTTCCTGACATGATTTGGGCCTTGGCACTTTCCATCAACAGAGATGCTGATGTTCTTGCTCAGGGAATGGCATTCTGCCAAAATAAAATGCCTGCCTTGTGCTCTGAAAGCCATGCTGCTTTTCACTCCTCCTTTTGTGAACCTTCTGTTGCACCAGTCCCACAGAATTGCAGTAGCCTTATGCCCCTTGGATCCGCCCTGTTACAATCGGGAACCACGGAGAAAATTCACTCCATGCAGAAAGCCAGTACAAAATGGAGGGTACTGGTCAACTCACACTCAGAACTGAAAAATCCTGCTTTGAACACTGTGTAGGCTTTGTGCTAAACTCTGTAAAAAGGGCATTTTCACAGAAAGTATTATGCAATCTAAAATTGTCCTTGGTTATTCAAAAGCTTAAAGAATCTGGTGCTCTGTCTGCAAACGGCAGCACTGTCCTTTGGGATAAAAGGTGCTTAAGAAATATAAGTTATGATAATAGTGAAAAATTTCTGTCTGTGTTGTGGGATGGTGTTCGGAGTCACGCACATGCAGAGAGGGAAAGAATGGGCTCTTGGCAGGGGAGTTTTCATGAGGGCCCAACACTGACCCATGTGGGGTGGGGATTCTCAAGTTACAGATGGAGGGAGAAACAGGATCAGAAGAACAGAACTGGTTTGAAGTTCAGGTGATGAAAAGTGGTAGGCTGGAGTTCAAAGACAGAATTATTGGCTAGTGTTGCTTTAGTAGTTGGTGGGAGAAGAGCTTAAGGCCAGAGCATTACTGCATTGCTGATTTATCAACACAGCCAACACTGTGTATGGTATTTGAGACACTTCTAAATCCAGCCGCTGGCAATGAAAAGCACATTTAATCCATGTGTTAGATTGTTTGAAGAGGTATCTGTCTCCCAGTCTCTATTCCAAGGTTGGGATTGCTGAAATTGAAGAGGAGGTGAGAGGAAAGATTTTAACTGTTTCACAAACTGTTCTCCTTTAGAGGGGGGTCACATTTGCAATAAACCCTTTAACATTTGGGATATAGGAAAATGAAAAGTTCTCTACTCTCTTATCCCCTCCAGAGAGAACCCCCACTGTCTCTTCTCTGTCTAAGGCACAGAAATCAAAGAGAGGATTTGTATGAAAATAGTTTATTGTTTTTAACTGTGTTCTTTTCCTCAAGCTGGGATTAATGGTCTGCACTTAGGAGTTCCAGGATTCATCTGCATTGTTGGCTCTGATCTCTCTGCAGCAGGCCACCACTGCAAGATAAAATACTGAAAAACAGCCCTTAGTAAAGTAATTCTCCTTTAGTCTTTTTCTTCAGTTATCTTACATGAAAGAGTATCATTGTTTAACCAGTTCCCTCAAGGGTTAATTCCTCTTCAATTTAATACTCCTGTACTCTGTTAGTGTGCAAGGGGCTGACACTGGCTATTGGAGGCTTATAGACTGAAGCTCCAAAAATGTCTATGCAAGAATAGAGGACAGTTCTCAAATCAGGCCTGAGCTGCACCTGCAGAGTTACACCAATGCCTTGGAATAAGAGTAGGGCAATCAGAGGGTGGACCTAATTAGCAAAGGTTATCCAAAGTAAGAACTAAAGAGCATCAGTAAGTCAACAGAGAGAACAGGGAGTTAAAGTGTTTGGAATAGATGGAAAGCTGAAGACTGAAAATAAAGCACCAATGTGTTTTAGGGTGTTATGGTTCAGCATTGTGTATATTGGAAGCCTAAGGCAGCAAGCTGGAATAGCAGGCATACAGCAGACCTCAACTGAGCTATTTACTCAAATCTACACGGGAGGCCTCGACACTGCAGCAACCCCAGTTTTGCTGCAGAACAGTTTCACGCTGAACAAGCAGAGCTCTCTGTGGACCACTAAAAACTTTGCCTTGGTTCTGCATAGCTCTTATCAGTCACATGAGTACGAATTCATCTATATGCAGCAAAAAAGAGGGTGTTAACAGAATCCAATAGGAAGCATGTAAAGATATTTTTATAGTTAGAAATGAGTTGTAACAAATCTCAGAACTAATATCCAGCGATGTTATCCACCCCTCCTGTGGATCACTTTATCCAGGCATCTTTAGTCAAGTGCAAAGGAACTCTGCAAGCAGGAAATAGACAACTTAGCCAATAAATAACTGCTTTCTACAGTTAGCACACACAGAACTTTGTTAGGATTTAATGAAATATTAAGCTAAATATTAGCATACTCCTCACCTTTGTAGAGGCACCCAAAGATTCTTTGCAGGCATCAATCAGAAGTGAAGAGTTAACCTCCATGGTTGCCATCTGTCACCAGCTGGGTCAGCTCTGATGGCAATGACAACTCAATAACCCTAATGATTCATGACAGTCATCAGCTAACTGTCACAGTTAAATCTCATGTGGGTTTGTTTTTTCCCCAGAGATTTTATACATCGGTGGCTTTCCTTTTGAATCCCTGGGCTACTGCTGGTGCAGTCCCAACAGCCCTACCTCTGTCTACAATTTTTGCCCTGCAGACTTGCTCCCAGCTCACTCTCAGCAGTTTAAGTTGCACTGTATCAGAGCTGGGCCCTGGATCCTTGTTACACAGGTAGTTAAATCCCTGGGTTGTGTGTCAAAAGATTACAGGAGGTATTGTAGAGAATTGTATTGTAAAGAAGTAGCCTTTTGATTTTAAAGTGGCATAATTTTGGAGCTTGCTCAGTATCAGCACCTTTTGGGGATCTTGTATCAGTTCTAATAGGAGACAAGAAATATCTAACCCTACCTAGGGCTGTTCATACAGTTTCTTTCTAGGGCTTTCTGGTTAAGAATATTTTGGTTCAGGCAAGTTGGCACTTCTTCTCAAGCCATAAATTCTGGGTGTTTTGGTGAGAAGTGAGGTTAGGTAGTGGAACCTGTGGCTTCAGGATCATTGTTGCCAGATAATCCTAGCTTAGTAATCATAAAAATTACTTCTATATTAGCGCTGCCTGATCATCTTCAAAAGCTGGGCTGCAAGAGCATCTACCGGCAGTGCACTTGCTTAACATGGCACTGCCTACCTATTTCTCATCTTGTCACTGGCAGCCTCACCACTGGCAATGGGGTCCATGAGCCAGCCATGGGAAATCAGTAACTCTCGATTGTAGAAGTGGTCCTGCTGGAGTATATCCAAGTTACATGAGCAGGAAGTGGTAAAGAAGCAAAGCTCATCTTGCCACTTCCCCTGACACATTGCTCTGGTGATGAAAAGCAGGCTTTGGTTTGCAGGCTGTCTAATACATTTCAGGCTCCTGGATTACCAACACTGAGGTAAGCTAACTCTCTGCCTCCTTCATCACAGGGGATACAGCCTTTCTGTAAACAGTTTTTTGTAGCTGAAAGTTGTGGTCACCCATGCTAAGCCATCACAAAGAAAAAACTCTTTCAACTTTCAGTAATGTGACTCTTGTCCAAGAAAAAAAAAGAATTTATTGCAGGCTGTTTGTTTTGTCCACAGTTTTTCTCACTCTTGAGATAAAGTCACTGAAGAGGGCAAATACATTTTTCTGTTGCATGACAGTCACTTGCTTTATTGGGAACTCTGGCAGAGTAGTGGTTGGTCTATACAGGTTTTTCACATGAGATTGCTGCAGAGAAAGAGATCTCTTGGAATAAGCATGCACAACAGGTTGTTTGAACTTCTGACTTGAGCTAATTAGAGCCTCATCCACGCCCTCTCTTCTACCTGCTGATGTCTTTCCATGTCTAGTAACTAATGTCTACCAGTGATTGGTGCATGCTCATCCATATACAAATCATAGCATTGCCTATAAGCTTTCCAGAGGCTAGACTCTGCAGTCTCAGCAGCTTATAAGTGTTGACAAGTATATACTTCTTCCAGCTTTGCTCTGCCACCAAGACACAGTATGGAAGCCATTGCCAAGTTTGATTTCACTGCTTCTGGAGAAGATGAGTTGAGTTTCCAAGCTGGGGATATGCTGAAGGTAAGTGCAGCCTCAGGCTTGACTAAACAGCATTTCTGAGACTGCTGCCAGATCTTTCTAGGCTCCCATTTGCCTTGACAAAACAGATGAAGACAGACATCTATAAACCAGAATACAAATACAGATTACTCATCTCCCATAGGGTTTGCAGTAGGTCAACCAATAGTTCCCAGGTTACTTGAGTCTGTGTCCACTTTCTGATTTTATGTCCATAAACTGTGGATTTAGTTGCCCTGCAGTTCTCTGGTACTCAGCAAGGAAGGATAAAAACCTTTGCTGAGGCAGAGATCAAGTTCTTCAGTAGACAGATTTTGAGGGTCCTGTCTGTTTTCATTGACTACATAAGTAGTCCACAGTGAGTACATTCAGATGACTATGTCTGAAGGCAGGCAGGATGAGTGCAGTCCAGAGAGATTGCCATCTTCCCTATTTCCAGCTCTTAAACTATATAAAAGATAATTATCATCCATTATAGAACTTATATCTAACTTTTCACTGTTAGTAATTATTGTTAGTTGCTGCAGGGTTTTTAGGCAATTGCAAATAGAAGAGGAAAAGTCTATGAGACAATCTGTTACACACATAAAGGAAGAGTTTAAGAGGTCCCAGGCTCTATAACACAAGGGCTTTATAACACAAGAGTGTTATATACGCTCTTGCATGAATTTGGCAATGGAGGCAATGGCAAAAGTAGAGTTGATCATATACAACACAGAGCATGTGAAAGTCTCTTTAAAGTTGATTTGTATGTGTTATGGTAGAACAGTTCTTGTTAACGCTACTGAAGTCCCACAGATTAGGGAACTCAATGTTTCACTCTAATTATTTATCTACTTCTCAGCCCCCAACTGTTCTGTTTCAGTTGAAAATGCCTCAGTATTACTCCTCTCTAAGGCCTTAATTCCTCCACTGCCCAAAAGGCAATAGTATATAAACCCTTGTTAGGCCAGGAGCCTTTGCTACCTCCCTGTGCAGTCCCAGATATTCCAATTAATAATCAGATATTGGGTCTCAGCCTTGTCTTTTCCATCACCACCGTTTTTTATCTTATTAGCTTTTTAATTCTTAACACTTAGACAAAGTGGCATCCAGACTCATTAATACCAGATTTTTCCAAAGAGCTGTGAGAAGGTTCTGGAGAAATCACTGCCTCTCTTCAGCACAGATAAATACTCTTATTCCTAATTCTTCCCCAGTACATCCCTACTATCCCATGACCTTAAACTGATACCTTCTTTCTCAGGAAACCATTCTCAGGAGGCTTCCATCAAGTCCCTGGCTGGGTTGATGGTGTTGGCCAGATCACTTTTCATTCTGTTCCTCAGTTTCCCTTCCTGTGAAATCATTATAAATTAGAGCTTCTTTTCAAAGTACACTGGAAGCTACAGATGAAAAGTGTCAAATAACACTACACACCAGTAGTAGTAGTAGTAGTAGTACTTGGCACAGAGAATTTACTACCAGAAAAATCAAACTGCCTCTTTCTTTAATATCCTTGAGGCAAACAAAATAACACCTTAGCCACCCAAGCCATAGTAGCAGTAAATTAGCCTGAGTAACAACTCTGTTCTGGCATACGCATACATACATTCATGCCCCATCACGAGCCCCCTTCTGCTGCCTGCAACAACCTGCTGATTTATAAAGGAGATAAGATGAAGTATTGATGTAGAGATTAGAAAACAGGAAACATGAGGCCCTCAACCAGCAGTGACAGGAGGAAATCCACCCTCTCACCCCCCACACATCCTTCTCTGGGAGGATGACACACTGAGAGAAACCTGCCAGCCCTGCACTGACAAACAGCAGGTGGGTCTTTCTGGAAACCTTGCTTCCAGCAGAGCAGGGCCTGAGCATGAGCAGGAGGTAGCTATCATCCCCTTTGTTCGGCCACAGCAGTAAAAAAGAGCCTTTAATCCAGCACCCAGGCATGAAGAAAGCAGTGACTATACAAGTGGGGAACTCCACAGCTTTCTATTACCTAACTTTTCTGAATCCAAATGCTTAAAAAAGGCCTACGTGGCAGGGAAGGCAATGCAGAATTGGCCCCAGAGACAGTAACATCCTGTTGCCAACACCAAGCAGTTAGAATGTGTCTTAGGCTCCCAAAACCATGAGATTGGCTCACAAAATAAGTATTATTACTGTTAACAATAGATTTTAAATTAAGTCTGTTCCACTTGCTTTCTCCTTTTAAAACTGTCATGGCTTATGCTTTTAGGCTCCTCTCCAAAACCAGAAAGAACAGAAACATGCTCTATTTCATAAAGCGGAATTCTGTTCCAGGAGTTGGAATGTCAAACAAAACACCAAAGACCACAACATTTGCTGTAAAATCACAGCATGGTTGTATTCCTGTCCTCTCTCCTCTAGCTTAGGGCTGTATCAGAGGCCATCAGCCAGGGAGCAGTGGATTTGGGCAGTCCTTGGTCAGCAGGGAAGCTCCTAAGGACCATTATAGTTAACATTAATGTGAGCACACTTGAAGCTGCTCCAGTGTGTGCTGACTTCCTGCTATCCTACAATCTCCTAAGTGTAACAGTATCTTTAAAATACTTTTTGCCTCCTCTACCTTGGCAAAGCTCAGGGCAGCTGAAGACTTAACCCACTAAATAATCTCTTGTGAAATGACGTGTGAGAGCACATGGTAACATCTGTGCAGTTGTAATGCACGCACACACGCATATATAGCTGCATATCCCTCCATATCCATCACAGATATTTGTTCCTCCCTTGTGAATCTGAGATGCTCCAGTACCAACTATTAAAAGCAGCACAGAGAATAACTTAAACCTCTATTAAGTCTTTCAAAGCTGAAATTTCTCCATTTCACAGGCATCAGAGACACAGTATCCCCAGCCACCTGAACAGGCAGTCAGATGAAGGGATAAGGTTAACAAGCAATCTGTCTAATTCTACTTGGGCTTTTCACTGCTTGTTTGCTCTGAAGTGGTCATCAGCCACTAACCTTGTTCCACAGTGGCTGGGAAGTACAACATATGTAGCGTATTTCTTCTTACAAGAAATTCTAGGTTTCTGCCAGAATCATGCTTACTTTTGCCTTTCTCCAGAGACATGTTTATTCCATCCATCTCTCCATCGCAGGTTTTGAGCTCCCAGGAAGAGTGGTACAAGGCTGAGCTCAGAAGTCAAGAAGGCTACGTTCCTAAGAACTTCATTGATTTTCACGTTCCCCCGTAAGTGCCACAGAAACAGTGTGTACCACCATTGCACATTTCCTCAGAGTGCTGTCAGGAGCATGTGTGCGTGTGCACGCAGAGGAAGACAGGACAGAGGAAGCACTGGCTATAACATACTACACTTGGAGGCTGGCAAGGATTGCCATAATGCTACATTGCAGTTCTCCCAGTGCAGCACATTTCTACCCCAAAGCACCCTCTGTTCTTTCGGAGCTGAATAGTTCTCGATGCTCTCTATCACTCCCAAGTGACTCTTTTGTTACTGCTGCTCAGAGGGATGTCACTGAGATGTGGCAGGAACTGCATTTAGATCTCCTCAGACAGAAGGAGAATAGTCATGATGTGAAGTCTTGGCAACAGAGATAGAAAAAGCAGAGCACAAAAGAAAAAGCAAGAGATCTTTCTGAAAACGAATTATAAAAAAGTAACTCCCTCCCCCTTCCACTCTAAACTACATTGACTCCTTTTCCCACCCTGCCATCCTCATTCCCTCCCCCCGCCAAGTATGTGTGTGTTTCTCTCGGTGCGCTAGAGGTCAGTGCAATGCTGCGCGAATGTGACAGCTGGTGTTACTCATGGATCGGCAGAGATGATAGACCAGACATGCCGCCCCGCTCACACATACACACGCTCCACGTTTCGTGACTGCACACCCAAACACAGATCTGTCAGAGGACAGGTGTACCTGCATTTCCCTCTTCCCGCTGAGGAGACGGCACTGCACTTTCGGAAAGGTCTGATGGTTGTTTAAATGCATATTAAATGTGCTCTCCAGCCCTATGCCATAAATATGACAGTGGAGGGATTTTTACAACCTTTTTCTTTCAGTTGGCAGAAATGCTCCCTGAAACTCCTCTCATTGTCCTCTTTTTTTCAAAAGTGCTGCAGCATTTCAGGAACAAGCAGGCAGAACAAGCACCAAGCCCAGTACTGCTGGCTCACAGTACTACTGGGAGCATACGGGGATTTTAAGATTACAAATAAGCACCTCTGTCCCCTTGGAGGTGGCACTTACTGGCCTTTTTGGATATAAGCCAGCCTGCTTGGCTGAGCTGAAGGACGTTATTAGTTTGCTGTGCAAATATGGGCTTGTACTTTTGGGCCTCAGGGGGATGAGATCTTCCAGTCGGTTGTTCTTGTTCGCTCTTTCACAGGGCTGTGGCGTCACGCAGGAACACTGGCAGCTTCTTTTTTCACACACATTTTTCTCATGATGCTTTCTCCATGCAAGAGCTGTGAAGAAATATTTCCACTTTGATGCTTTTCTAAGAGTAGCAGGTCTGCACTTGGAAGCAGTTCAGGCCAGATGCCAGAACCAGATGTAGGGAAGAAAGCTGCCTCCTATTTTTGATGGGTTGGTTTTGCCGATATTTTTCTTGTCAAGTAATCATTGAGACTAGTTATCAAGGCTCATTAAAGTCTGATTTCCCTTTGCTAATGATACATAGGTAAACTGTGATGATAATAAGAAACTCCAAAGTGGAAATGACAGAGTTTATGAAACTATCAGTCCTTAACTTTAATGCAATATAGGCAATTAAGCATTACATAAAAAAGCAGATTACAGATTGTAGATCTTCTTAGCTGTGGAGTGGACATATGCATATGTACGTGATGATTTTTTTTTTGTCTACTGAAAAATTCCTATTGACATTGTATTCTTTTACTTCTTATGGTGACTTTCTCATTATTAGTCCAATGCCTTATACTATTGTTTGTTATGCCTAGCTAAATTTGCACAAGTGTGCTTACGTATTCTGTGCTTCTGAGATTTTATGGTATTATAACTCTTGCAGGAACCAATTTATTAGTACTAAAACTTTCATGGTTCGCTTCTGCTAAAAATTTATGTGTGTCCCTTGCAATATATCCATCACAGCCCAGTAATTTTCAATCAGTTTACCAAAAAGCAATTTGATGTATATGTCTGAGAATTATGTGTATGTATGTATACATACACATTTGTAATTTAAAATTTCTTTGACTAACACCTTATTGTACTGTGCCTGTAATTACAGTTTCAGCTGAGTGTTGCTTCTTAGCAGGCCAAAGTTTACATTGTTCTCTTTGCATCTACGTGCTTTTACTGCTCAAAGAAAATGGTCTGCACCCATCAAAACCCTCTACCTTAGCATACTCATGGCCACTGGGAGTAGCCATGTGGGCTCCTCTGATCCTTTTGTTTTCTTTCCTCCACCCTGCTTATTCACATTCTCCCTACCCTCAACTTTTTTATTTCTCACCTTAATTCACATCCTTATTCACATTTTCATGATTTTTCCCACTTGACAGCTGGTTTGATGAGAGGATATCCCGCCATGAAGCAGAGAACCTTCTCATGAGCAAAGGAGTTGGTTCCTTCATCGTCCGTGCCAGTCAGAATTCTCATGGTGACTTTTCCATCTCTGTCAGGTATCTGCTTCTCACAGCATATTCCTGCCTCTTCTTCTGTGTAATGGTGTCCCTAGCCTCCTCTTGACAGGATTGCTAATGTGACGTAGCCTCTTCGGAAGTTTGCATGCTGCCAGTCATTGGCAGTGCTGCTGTTGTGAATGAGAACAAATTAGGCATCTGATTCCAAAATGTTTCTGCCTCTTTTCAAGTGACACAGTGAATGCCCCATTCCAAAGCTGCATCCCCTGGTGACCTGCTTCTCTGAAAGAGCTACAGCAAAGCAGAGTGGTACATAGAACGTCTCCCACAGTGATTAACATGTGTCTTTCATTTGTATTAATTCCCTGACAGCTCTGGTTACTGAATCCAAGAATTCAGCTACTACCTATTAAGAGATTACAATTACATTGTTAACTTATTTCCCACAGGTCACTAAACAGCCATTGGACAAAGAATGGTTTTTCATTGCTTGCAGCCCAGCTGCATTTCAGCAACTTACTGTAGCCCAGCCCTTCTCAGAACATATGCTTCAGAGCAGTACTCTTATATGATGGTTGGTTTCCCAATTTTCAGTCAAACAACTGATAATCAGTTTTAAATTAGAGTCATGGTTAACGATGTCTTTTCCAAGCAGTGTGTACTTTCTGATTCAGGAAGCTCAAAAAGTATGTGGGAGGAATGCAGGAAAACATTCTGGTTACATTTATACCAATTTATACCAACACCAGTAAGTACAGGCAGGCTCCTTTTCTGGCCATGAAGTCAAGCAATGTGGCAGAGCTCAGATCCGTATGGCTAAAACCTCTTCACCCACCAAACCGAATACCTGTTTTCAAGCAGCTCACTGTGAACAGTTCCTGGTCCGTTCTGTCCCCTTAACCACAGCCCAGCACTATCTAAGGGAGAGCTTTTGCATTTAAATCAAAACCATGCTAACACTAACAGCCTGTGTAACTGTAGCACTTCAGGACAGGAGTCCGTGTCTGAAAATTCCTTCTTTTTTTTTTTTTTTTCTTTTGGGTAGGAAGAATTACCGGTAGTAGTGATATCACACTAGATTTTATGCAATTATAAAACTCAATGTGTGGCTGTACCTGACTGTGTCTGCATGTATTGGCGGTGCCCATGGTGTATAAAGGTGTAATAAATCTCTTATAGCCAATTCAGACTGGATGCTAACAGGACCTGCAGAGGCTGGTGGGTAGACTACAACTGCACCTCTTCACCCTGGAAGCTCCTCTGGCCTTTATTTCAAAGGAGAGGCTTTAAAGCCCTATGCTTTGTTCTGATAGTGCTTTGTGACTGGGCAGCCCTGGGGCACTCTGTGTTTGTAAATTGATGAGTCTTTTGAAATAGAGCCACATTTGGGTCCAGGATGCACAAAGACTGACGGTTGCTTGACTTTCCAGAAGTCTAGGTTTGGCCAAGCAAGAAGTTTTGGTACCCTTCTGGAAAGGACTTTTCCCAAAAAGGTAGAAGTGCAATCTGTTTGATGATCTCTTACTTTTCCAATTGGATCCAGGCATGAAGATGATGTGCAACACTTCAAAGTGATGAGGGATTCAAAGGGTAACTATTACTTGTGGACAGAGAAATTCCACTCGCTAAACAAGCTCGTGGACTACTACAAGACAAATTCCATCTCCAGGCAGAAACAGATATTCCTAAGGGACAACAGCCAAGAAGAGAAGGTAAACACAAACTATCCTTTGGAATTTCTCAGTAAGAAACCTTTCTGTGGAAGGAATTCATCCCATGAGAATGTCTTGGCATGGGGGGAGGAGAGTCTGCCCTTGGAAACCCAGCCACATCATTACACTGGTGGTCACTGCAACACAGATTTTTAGTGGATTCAGTGGTATGTAGAGTTATATAATTGAGCATAATGTTCTGATTCTGCTTTGGATAGCAATAGACAGTACTGCAAATCTGCATAGAGGTGCTTTGTTAAAGGTGTGCTAAGATCCCAGAGCTGAAATTCTAAGATGCCTTACAAAGCCAAGAAAAGCAGGACTTACCTTATTGAAATGCCTAGATTTCATAAGGGCAGGTACAGAGCTGACTGCTAGTTGTGACTGAGAAGAATTTGAGTCTGGTTTCCTCAGTGTCCTTGAATGCACCCAGAGTGCAAATTACAACTGCAAGTTTGTCTGCTCAGAAGAATCGTCCATCTTCTGCTATCAAGCAAACACTGTAACAAGTGTGGAAGAACACAGGGCAGAACCCAGAGCAGTGGCTGGTAGGAACTGAAAAGTACTACTGAGAAGAACATAGCAGATATGGGAACAAGCTGTGCCTTCAGGGAAGGTGTAGTAGGTGTTTCAGAAGGCAGAGAAATCCCAATCCAATGAATGCCTGGTTTTGTGCCAGGGGAACAAGCAAATGACATAGTAGAGACTGCTACACATTGCACTGCCAGTACTGGGAGCAAACACGCCTGGTCAGTGCAGTAACCAAAGTCCTGCTTTACCAGGAAACGGATTCTGGTATTAAATTACCAGGATGTGCAGTTAGAGGCAAGGTGTGTGACTTGCTGACTGCAGCAATAAAGTTTTATAGGCTGCATGTGGGTCATTCTTGCTGGCTCCAAACATGAGATGATGCGTTTTTCAATCTGAAGAAGGGGCTTGGGTTGCTGTCTACTTTTAGACTACTTACACAGAGCTTTAAAATGCATTAGTAAGATATAAAATAGAGGCTATGGGACCTGTGAGAGAGATCACAGTGACGAATTGTCTGGGGAAGGAGAAAGCAAGGCTGTATGCATGTATATCAGTAAAACAACCTGTTTGGGCTGACTGTGATCAGGAAAGGAAAGAGATGCATTTGCTCCAAGATGCAGACACGCAAATGAAAGAACAGTAGTCAAGTTTGCTTTGGCAAACTCTCTGTACATTTGTTATGGTGATGGGCTCAGCAGGGTATGTTTAGTACTCATCACAGTGGGATTTCTGTTCACAATTCAAATTTCTAGATGCTACAGCTATATGATAAAATAGTCATAATATATAGATTTCTGTGCAGAGACAAATGAAGTCTAAGGGCAGTATTTAAAAAAATAGCTTGGTTCCTGTGCTGGACCTTACACCAACATTTTCAGCCCAGCACCTCCCATTACTGCCCAGTCTTCAGATGGGGAATGACTATGAGAAAGATCTAAAATATAGGATTCCTGATTTGTTGACCTGTTCAGAGGGATGGAATTGTTTATTTGAAAGAGCCTACAAAGTAGAGGATAGAGGTAGTGATCACTGTGCAATGATTGCTGAGCTTTAGTCAAGGACGTGGTAGGTAGAAAAAGCTGACCTCACTTTTGTGATCTTGCTTCCATCAGGAGAGGCGTGGTGGGAGCCTGGAACGGATGAGCCGGGAAGGATTCCACTTAAGTGGAGCAGCTGGAGAAGATCATTCTTCTATATCCAAGAGATATGTCGAGCATGCTATCCCCATACTGCAGCAGCAACAGGTACTGCCACAAACAAGGGGGCTGGGATGTCGAGCCCAGACACAGGAAACATTGGCTTTAATTGCTTGGTAGCAAGTGAACAGTTGCTTTATCAAAAATTTGCCACCCTCAACCTGCTTTAGGAAGCAGAATCAGGTCTTTTTACAGGAATAACAGCAGTGATGGTTCAGCATAGGGGCGTTTTTTGATATGTAATAAATATGTGGGCTTTTATTTAGTTCTGCGACCTGTGACTTTCTGACTGACAAACCAGAAAAATAGAAGTGTGCTGTGGCCCTTTTACTGGGAACCTAGGAGTACCCTTCAGGTGGTTTTGGTGCCCCATCCTAAAAACTGGAAAACAAGCAATGATGTCATGTTCTTACTTGGCTTAGGAAAAGACATGAAGTATCATCCAGTGAGAGTGCAGGAAAATGCTCACAAATCTTGCACTGCACACACATGCATGGTTTCAGGAACTCGTCTCTAGTCTATAGAACGAAGGAAGCCTTGCTGTCTGTTTCTTTTTTCTGAGTTATGCTACTGATATTCAGCACCACAAAACACATCACAGGGATGAGAAATTACTATAGTAATCCTAGGAGAGTTTGGTTTCCTCCAGAACGTTCCTTCTCCTCTGCCCTATTCTGGGTCCTCTCTGCACTCTTTCATCATGTTACTTCCCTGATGTGTGACGTTTCTTTACTCCTTTGATTGCATAGGAATGGAGAGAACAACAGCAGTACCTGGTGCTGTTTTCAAATTTCTTCCTGGTTAATTTTTGGGGAATAGTTTTCCTGGAGTTGGCTCATGTCTCTAGCTAAAGGCAGCGTAGCATCCTTCAAGGAGAGGGTTTTTCTTACTAAAGGGAAGAAATCCAAAATGTTCCTTAAGGCATGAGAGCTCACATATAGCAAAGCCAGAGGCAATGGTGAAATGGCTGTTCTCTCATCAGACAAGCCGTGTGGCCTGTTAAGGGACTGCTGGTGGAATAATACAGGTTCTGACGAAGCTGAGTGCCTGCACCCTTTGCAGCACAGTCTATTCATGAGTCACATTTTATATGGAGCAGAAACACGCATAGGAGTGAAGCACCCATGTAGTAAGTCTTGTGACTGCAAAGCCACATTGAGTTCACCCTCTTTCTGGCAGAGACACGTGAGGTGCAAATTGTGCTCCAGTTTCAGGCAGCCTCAGCAACATTTTAGGCTGACAAAGGCACGTGTGAGACCAAGGGAGTTTTTGGAGGAGAGCTATAGGAAAGGAAGCAGCAAGAGGGATAGGACAAAAGCTGTTTACAAGCAACAGCAAGCAAAAGCTGTTGTTCTTTCTCCCCGCTGTTGACACAGCTCATCAGACCCTGTGTCTCTGAAGCACTACTGCAATCTGAGCTAACATGATTTAAGGTTCTGTCACACCCTTATCATAAAAACAAAAGCTTAGTACCTGCACGAAGGGCCCAGGGGGATAAAGAGACTCAGCACCTCTCAGCTGTGCGCACAAAAGAGAACTTGCTTCCTAGATGTTTCCTACTTCCTCTCTCCATCTGTCTGGGTTGATTTGTGTTGATATGACTTCAGATGTGTGGTCATATGGCTACTTTTCTTTGAACCTGATTTCATCTCATTCTTCTTTGGTTAATTTGGCTACTAGATTCTCAGGTTTGCTTGCAGTCCTTTGCAACATGGAGCAGCCCAAGAAAAAGTAGAGTCCTCAGATACAGTCACCTGCATCAGCATCACTGTCATCCCGCCAGCATATAGGACAGAGGAAAAGCAAGGAGTGGGCAGCACTGGGTCATAATAACTCCAGATTGGCAAAAGTCCCCTTGGCAAGCATGGCTTTTTATCTGTGAGTTAAAACAACCTTAGTTTTTCTGCAAAAGTCTTAGAGACCAAAAAGGCCATTTTTCCCAGCAGCTGTGATACACATCTAAGAACACTCAACTTTCAACTTCTAAAAAGTAAAATGCAAAATAGAAGAGTCAAAGGTGACCTCTTCCATGAGGGTCACTTCTTGCAGTACTGGAGCACTGGGACAGTATTGGAAGCAGATATCTAAAATTATTTACTTGAGGGCTGGCCCCTCACCCCGTTCTCACCAATGACTCTTAAAGCCCCTCATTTATACATCTCAGCATATATATGTGTCGTGGTTTAATCCTAGCTGGCATCTAAGTACCATGTAGTCACTCACTCACTCACTCCTCCTCCCTCTGGTGCAAGTGGGGAGAGAATCAGGAAAAAGGTAAAACTCATGGGCTGAGAAAAAACCAGATTAATAATTCAAATAACAATAATAATAATGATAAAGATGATAATGATAATAATAATAATAAAAGGAAATTTTAAAAAGAGATAAAGGAATAAAACAACAAAAACAAGTGATGCACAATACAATTGCTCACCACCCACTGACTGATTTCCAGCCAGTCCCTGATCATAGAATCATAGAATCATAGAATCAGTTGGGTTGGAAGGGACCTCTGAGATCATCAAGTCCAACCCTTGATCCACTACCGCCGTGGTTGCTAGACCATGGCACTAAGTGCCACATCCAGTCTCATCTTAAAAACCTCCAGGGACGGAGAATCCACCACTTCCCTGGGCAGCCCATTCCAATGCCTGAGCACATTCCAATGCCTGATTGGCCTCTTCTGGCCAAGTACCCCCAATTTATATACTGCCATGATATTCTATGGTATGGAATATCCCTGTGGCCAGTTCAGGTTAGCTCTACTGGCTATGCTCCCTCACAGCTTCTTGTGCACCTGCTCGTTGGCAGAGCAGGGGAAACTGAAAAGTCCTTGATTTAGAGTGAGCCACTACCTAGCAACAACTGAAGTATCAGTGTGTTATCAGCAGTATTTTCATATTAAATACAAAACACAGCACTGTACCAGCTACTAGGAAGAAAGTTAACTCTATCCTAGCCAAAACCAGGACAACATGACTTTTTTCTCGCTGTTTTCTTTCTAGGAAAGATATGGTGGGAGTCTGGACAGGAAAGATGTGCTGCATGGACTAAGGGATCATGGCCAAGGAAATGCAGGAGCTATGCAACGGAGACACACAGACCCACTGCACCAGCAGACACCGGTAGGTGACATACCTGGAAGGTCCCATCTGCCTGGGTTCCTTAGCAATGGCCAAGCAGCCTGGGCAATGTCACCTGCAAGGAGGTTGCAGAGGAGTATTATATTAAGAACACATCTTAAAAGATGTTTCTGAGTCTCAAGACTCTATCCCAGCCACTTGAATCTGCTTCTGGGGTACTCTTGAGGGTAGGACTACAGTGTTACATGAGCATAGTTCTAGGACTGCTCTCAAGGTCAGCCTTAGTTAACTTGCAGCCTCTTAGTGGAAGAGGAAACTCAGCATAAGCTCAACTAAATAGACATCTGGGACACTGGCATGAGCACAAGCTCACCCGTGGGCTTGGATCAAGCATGGGTCCAGTCCAGCAGAAGACATTTCTGAAAGCCTAATGATCTAGGAGAGCTTTATGTCCATTAATGCAAGGGACTATGAAGTACCTTTGCCACCCCAGCCAGGCTGTGACTAAGCTCAGTAGCTGGAAGTGCAGTACATGTTTTAAGTTCTACAGAGAGCTGCCTCATGATGCTGTGCCATGCTGCAGTACTCTTTCTGTCTTGAAATGCACTTGTAGTCACAGTCTCTTCCACTAATTTTTTCTCAGTCCTGAGAAGGCCTGTCATCATTCAGCTCTACTTGTCTATACCTGGCACATCCTCAGACCTACTATGCCATCAAAGTGGGACTCATCTACCTGACACCCTTAGCTGTCAGAGCTTAACACAGAGGATGTGGGCATGATCCAGCTATTATCTGCAGACATCTCAGACCACTGCCCTACTTGGATCCATACCTGGCAGTCGACCTTAAGTAACCACGTGCTCTGCAAATTCCTACTATGTGAATGCCCATATAGAATATGGTGTCTTTCTCTGCCTCAGCCTGTGATTCCACTGCCAACTCTAAAGTATTTCTCCATCAGCTCAGTGTGACCTAAGGAATGCTCCTCTTCCTTGAGGAAATGTACAGATCAGCCCACAACAACCAGAAAACCTAGATCCAAGGAGAGAAGGGAAGGACAGCAGACCTTTCTTGAGTGTGAGAGAAAGTGACCGGATTGGTTTAGGAAATATGGAACAAACTAAAAAACAGGGACATGTCTTTTCCAGGGTTTGGAGGGGTTTGTTTGTTTGTTTGTTTGTTTGTTTGTTTTTGGCAAAATCCCTAAATCTTTATTATAATCCAGCTCAAAATACAATGGTTTTTATCCCTCAGAGGCTGTGGCAATCAATAACATGCCCTTGCCTGCCACATCTCATCAGTGATCTAGAAGTCAGAAATACAGTCATAGGAAGGTCTGTATGTCCAACCAAATAACTAGGAGACAGGTCTAAGCAGGGGCCTGAATGGAAGATTTATCAAAAGTTAGTCTGTCTTCAAACAGATCTCTCCATCTGTCCCTGCAAAATATACCTCCCAAATTATCCATGCCCTGTGGCGTGGGCACCAACAATTTCCGAGAAAGAAGCTCATGCTATGTCCTTTAAAATCTGATTTCTGGCCAAAATGGGAGACTGACTGCAAAGTCTCTTATGATTAAGCTCTCATAAGAAAAAAAATCTAACCATAGTGCACATTAAAGTGCAAACCCAAAATAAACTGATATACCCAAACAGATCCTAAATCCTTTTGATCTCAGGGGACTGACCTTGGGAAGAGTGCAAAGAAGGTTTAAGACCCTTCCCTATGCCCCAGAAGTGCCTGAAAGAGCAAGTATCTTCTTCACAATGTTGACTAGACTTGCCTGTATGCTGGCTCTCATAGACCTTTGCTGGCCAAGGACACATTTTGATATCTGTACCAGCACCAGCTCAGCTCTCCAGAGTCATTCACTTACAGTTACAGCCCTGCAGGACTCAGGCAGGAGCCCTTTTCTGTGCTCCCATAACTGGCTTCTGACATGGCTGTCATGCCCTTCCAGGGCAGAGGTGACAGAGCCATGGGAACATTATTTCCTGCTCTCAGTCTGACTTTTCACCTTATCGTGCAAACACCCACGAATACACTGAGGCTGCTGAGAAACCAAGCACCATCCCTTGGGTGTCCCAGTAAATTGGTTCCTACTTCCTGGTATCTTGGCCACTTCCTGGTTTAATTGCAAGTTGGTCTAAATTTCATTACTGCTCGTCCTCTCATAGCGAAGATATGTACTGGGAGTTAACAGGGGTGACAGGAAGATGGTCTTTAAGAGTCCTGGCTCATTGTTCCCTGCCTATCTCTCTCTCCTTTCCAGCGAACGCTATGGGTCCGTGCCTTGTACGACTTTGATGCTGTGGAGCATGATGAGCTGGGCTTCCGTAGTGGAGACATCTTAGAGGTCCTGGACAGCTCCAACCCTTCATGGTGGAAAGGACGTCTGCGTGGGGAACTGGGTCTCTTTCCTGCCAACTACGTCACACCAGTGCTCCTGTGAGGGCACAGTTTGCCCCAGAGGGCCAAGCTGGAGCTGCTCTTCTGACATGACAAGGGACAGAGAAGGAGTGCATCTTCCCTGGCCACCAGGACATACACTGGTTTTGGTTTTGTCTTAATTTATTGGCAACTTATTTTTTTAAATGTTGGTATGAAAGGGAAACCTTTGAAGAAAATATTATTTTTTCCCCCCTATTTTTCACCTTCATTAAGGGGAGGAGCAAAAATCCTGGACTGCTCACTGAGACGTTGCTGGATCCTCTCTGCCCTGTCACCTCTTTGGCTAACGATTGATAACTTCCTGCAACTAGGTTTGTTCTGTGGAAAAGCCCCTCAGACAAGTCAGACTTCAGGTTCAGTATTCAGATGGTCCTACCCCTTCCTTTTGGAATTCACCCACAAGAATTAAATGATCATTGGTAATCCCATTAATCCTTCAAGTAGGGAAGGAAAGTGAAGGGGCTTTAGGTTGAGGTTCAAGGCAATTTGTATTTTTCTAAATAGCTTCTGGCTTACCCATCTCCTACTGTGTGTATGGACTATATGGATATACCAGATGAAGGGAAAGGATCCTGTGAGCTTTTGTACAAAACAAACAGTGGTGAAGGTATGGGAGGGCAAGAACCTACTTTCTTTGCTGCTTCTGATAGTCCTGGTCTTCTTTCTGCACCCCATAACAGCTTACGCCATTTTCAAGCTGCTCTCTTAGGTATCTACACTTCTGCTAGATAGCCTGGTTAGAGCAGATCAGGCCATTCAGCTAAATTAGTATCCACTGGATTGGATAACAATTAATATCCCTCACTGGTTCATTTTGTAAAACTGAACTGGGGAGGGGTTGGAGAGAAGAGGTTTTACTGGTTTGGTGGCAGAAGTTCTTTCCCTGAGAAGTTGGGGTGTTGAGGAGCACTGTGTACACAACTCTGCCTTACCAGTGGAATGCCTCATCCGACAGGTTAAGCTGTTACTTTACCGTATGCAGAGAATAAAGTTGTGGCCATCAAACAGTCTGTTCTATGTTCCAGTTTCTTTTGGATAAAATAAGATAAATGAATAGGTTTTCAAATCATTGCTGAGTGAATGCCCAGATGTGATAGAAATATACTGCAAATGCACATTAGAAATGAACCAAACTCTGTGAAGGATACACTATTCATAACTACTGCTCAGGCAAGTTGATATTAAACAAACTGTCTGAATTTTTCACAACATGTGAGACCTCAGCAGTCAGCATGGAAGTGATGATTAATCATTCTTGAAAAAGAAAGAGAAGGCAAGTGAAAAACTCTAAAAATAAATCAGACTCAGCAATAAAAAAAAAATGTACTTATCTTCTTCTAGTCCCAATGGGAGAAAAATAATCCAGGAAATAGGTTCTTTAGGTAAAGTCCAATTCAGTGTAGTTGGCCTGAACAAAGCTGCCAGCTAGACAGAGTATTAGCAGAAAGAACCCATTTTGAGAGAACTCCACCAGAATCAGATTATTAATGGGTGAAGTAAAACAAGAATATTTAACACAGCATATAAACTTTAAAGAGAATAGAAAACTTCGAAAGACACATTAAGAGCTTATCTCCATTGGCTACCAGGGAGGTCCAGGAAATGGAGAGACACCATGTGACTGCCAGGGCTGGACTTGGCCCTGTTCTCTTGCAGAAGCTCTTTTCTGGGCCTTTAGTGTCTTCTTTTGAAGGGAAGTCCATGAGGCTTCTTTTGGAACGAGACACCTTATTATTTGTGTGAGGATGTAACCTCAGTGATTGCATAGTTCGAAGAGTGTTTTGTTGTGATTTGCCCTTTTTTAACCTTTATGTTTGTTAGTTTGATTTTTGCTAAAGTAGTAACAAATTTGGAAGAGAGAGGGTTAACATTCAGTCAGAGAGACCAGGGGGAAGATGGATGCAAAGAAACCAGAGACTAGCAAAGGCAGAAGAGGGATAAAAATGATGAATCTTTCATATTCAGCTCTGACTGAAACAGAAGAAATGGTGTGTTCACAATTATTCCCGTCATGTCAAATCATCTTTCAATTAATTACTTTTTTTTATTAGTTATGTTTAAAACTAGAAGCAATGTCTCCTTTTCCTTTCCTCAGCACTCTAAAGACCCTCTTGGTAGTGAAGATGTAGTTGCACAAAATTAATTGAAGATAACGCACTTAGCAGTTTGATAGCTCTTCACACATTTGAAACCCCTTTACAGAGATTAACTAATTAAGCAAGTCTAAGTAGTGCATTGTAAGTACCCCCATGTTAACTCATGATTCATTTGAGGAAGAGGTAAATTTTCACGTGATTTTTTTTAATTGATGTTTAAGGAATTAATACTTAAGGTAATTAGTATTAAAGGGCTGCTCGCTAATTATGGACAACATACCAGAACCACAGTAAAATCATGATTTCTCATTATGAGCAGCACCTAATGACAGCAAAATTACTAGGAGGCGAAAGTATCATGGCGTCTGTGATAACTACACTAGTGCCATGTTCTGTACCGCCTTGTGCATTTTGGCCAAGCTTTGGTCTGCCATACCCAGTCTCTGTTGCCTCTGCTGTTGTCCTTGCCTGATCCCCAGAGCAGAGGCAGTGCTACCTGCATTTACTGCACATGCCAGTAGCTGGGAGGCACAGGCGTCAGACGGCATTTTTGTACCCTCCCACAGTAAAAGTTGTTTTCCTCCCAGCAAAACAACAGCACAAAGAACCCTGGCTATTCCCAAGTCCGTGGAGACTCTGGATGCGAGGGGAGGCAAAGTGGGGAGTTTTGTGGGCATAGAAGGTGCTGTAGCCACAGGAAAGAGGTTGTTTTCCACACCCCATGCCATTTTCTCCCTGTGAAATTCTCTCTCCCATAGATTGGGCCACTTAATATGCAGAGAGAGAGAGAGAGAGAAAGAGACACTCTCCTCCTCCACCCATATATCCTGTCAACCTTCCAGCTCCTTCTTCCAACAGGTTTTAATTGTAACACAATCCTTGTTAATATTGTGGTGATTCACTTACACCTGTGCTGTGAAAGCCTCAGATTCTATGGCCCATGCAGAAAGCACGTTAGCAACCTAAGACTGGAGCCTTAAGGTGACAGTGTGCTGCATTGAGTTCACCTGACATTTACCAGCGTTTTGGAAACCTCTAGAAAATATCCCAAGAAAGTCCACTGCAAAACTGAAAAGTGAAGGAATAGAGAGGGAATTTTGTTTGTTATTTGTCTTAAGCAAGAAAGACAGTTCATGAGAAAAGAGATTGTAAACAGAGATAAAAGTAGGAAAAGTATGTGGGAAGGCAAACATTATTATAACAAATGAAACAGAGGAAGCTGGACTTGCATAGGGAAAAATAATTTTGATGAGAACAGCTGAGCTGAGTTTTCTCCTGTCTGAAGTAACTTTTTGCCTATGTTCTGCTGCAGATCCATATTTTGTCTAAAAATGTCTCTGTGATTAATAAGGCTGAGCTAAAAACAGTAAATGGAAATCTCCTGTCATGCAGATGATGTCCAAGCAGTTTTCTGTGCCACAAAAAGAAGGTCTCTCTGTCTTGGTGTACGTGCCTACTGTAACAGCTGTGCTCACTGGAGCACCCTGCTGAAACAACGGGATCACAGCAGGTTCCCATCTGACTCCTGACAGGGGAAGAGCACCAGGGACATGATCCTCAGGGCTGCCACAAAGTCAACACCTGGTCAGACTGCTGGGCCGGTCTCCTGTACCAGGAAAACAACAGTTTGTTGTTTGTGGGTTGTTGTTGTTATTTTTTAAATAGAAAGTACTTCTCAATTTCAGTGGGCTGTGCAGGAAATTTGAAGCTTTTCACAGCAGCCATCTGTTCATCATTTTTTCTATTCAGCAGCACCTCTCATCCTTCCTCCCCAATGGGATCCTGCTGCTGCAGGCTCTTGAAAGGCCATTTTGCCTTCAGCCCTTGTGGAGAGCAAGCGAGGACGTCAGAAGTGAAAGATCCAGCAGCCAGGACCACATAGTCAGGAGAAATCAGCCCTAAACAGCAATGTGGTATCAGTTGGGACATGTTGCACTGCAGGAGCAACACCCCAGCAGCTGTAGTCCAGCAGCAAGGTGAAGGGTGATCTCTGAGCAGGAAGCAACAGGTCTTTAGTTATGTCCGTGTCACAGCACAGGGACAACAAGGAAGTCTGGTGGGACAGAAATGTGGCCATCTGGGCTAGGGCTGTGCCAGACTCTTGCTCTGCTTCTGCAGCTCTTTGCCAAGGAACCTGGGTTACACCAGACTAGGTGTGAGAATTGTTTGGCAGTGCTGCCCGCCCCTGCCCAATGCAGCCCCAGAAGCCTATGTGCACCTCCTTGCAGCTGCAGCCCATCACCTCACTACTCCTACATGCATTAGAAAGCCCAGGGCCCAGCTTTTGCCTCCGTGCTGATAGAAAGTGCTCTGCAGACATCTCACTTCAAATACTTGTTCAAAGCAATTGGCTTAGGTGCTTTTAAATGAAACCCCATAGAGATCAGTTGAACCCATTAGTGTTCCCTAGATGATCCAGGCAGTAACATTTACTGGTTAAAACGCACTCATGGACTAAAAAGCTCCTTACACCCAGCCACTCCTTGCTGCTGAAAATTTTGTATTTCAATGGGGAATGATGAACTGAGCACATGATAAAGCCTTTAACAGCCCTGAGGAAGAGGGCAGAACATTGCCATTTTCTCCAGTTTTTCAGAGGCAACTTTCATGTGACAGAACTCAGGAGCGTTAATTCGCATCAAATGCAAAAGAAGCTTCTTACATTAGCAGAACTGACAGTAGAAAACAGTCAATGACTTATCTGTGAGCTACAGGACAGCAGGGAAACAGGCAAGTGAATAAGGAAAGGTCACTGACCTTTGTGTGGAGAGAAAATTCAAAGCACATTGTCTACTGCCATTGTGCAAGTGAGAGGTGCTTGGCTGATGTCGAGCTTGCCAACATGAAAATGCAAAATTTCAAAAATGGCAGGCATGCAGGGATCATTGTAGACATGCAGAAACAAAATTAGCTCAGGCAATAAAGGGAGGAAGAAGAAACAAACAAAAGATCTCTAGATATCTTGCAGCTTCTCCCCGCTAGTCCAAGCAGGTTCATTTCCACCAGAGTTCATGAAAGATACAGCCATGGCGAGTTTGTTTGTCACAAATAAAAATGAGAGCAAAGCAGTGGGGGAAAAAAAATGCAGTTTATGGCATGATTGTATGCTTAAAGCTATAAAATGGTGACGATGTCCCGATATCATGACTGAAGTTCCATTCTCTGTTTAAGTGGAGCTTCTGGGAAACCTCTCAGTGATGTCTATGATTCATGCACATATATGAATTCTATGATTCTATATTCAAACACAGATAAGGAAAAGAAAAAAGAAAACCCGCAAAACATATGAGGTACCTTCTCTACTGATCTAGAGGTCATTTGCAATCTATCTTTTATGTCTTTGCTGTACTGAATGTGTCATAACTTCCTTGTGGTACTGACAGTCCCTCTCCCTTGTCAAATTCCAAGAAGGGTACTACTGCAGTGCTAACAGATAATAATAAACAGTAGGAACCAGTCCTTGGTGACCCTTCTCGTGGCTGAATGTTTTCTGTCAGGTGCAGCACACCAGAAGTTTGGTTGCAAAATGGTGGATTAGAAGTAGATTGCACCAACAGTTTAATTTTTTTTTTGTCTCCTCAAAATTTAAGGAGAAAAAAATTTCAACTGCAAGTTTGCTACCAGCACCAAAGGATTGGAAAACACCCTTTGCCCTGCCCTTTCTAGAGTCACTTTCTTCAGAGCTGAATGCATGTGTAGCTTGTTCTGAATTAGCAGCTTTTCACACTCGCTTGGCAGAGCTGTGAAATAAGAAGGATACGTGGCAGCAAAGAATCAGCTCTCTGTAGCTGTGTATCTGTATATCTTGCCATTGTGATGGCAGCTATTTGCCTGTTATCGGAAGAAGATGATCTGCTAATAACAATGGACATGATTTCATCACAGCCGGTAAGTCAACCAAACATCTTGCTGCCGCCCTGCAAAAAACCATCCACTTGTTTTTTGCTGGGTTAATGAGTTGAGTCAGCTCACCGAAGGCAGCATAAGGAGACCCAGAGCCAGCGCAGGGTGAGCAGTGGGAATGTACAGCCAGGAGGGGGAAAGGGTAAGACGGAACCTCCCAGTCCTGGCAGCAGGAGCTATTAGATCACCTCGTCCTAGGCTGCGGACTCAGCAAAATGAAAACTTACCTGACACTGAGGTTGACATAAAGCCTTGACATGAGCAGGGGATTTTTTTAAAGCTTGTTTGGGAGATCGGAGTGAG